TTGTCCGGCTTTGTTCAGATGCAGTGCTTGAAATGGGATGCAGTGTGGAATCGAAGGAGTGCTGCATCCAAACTTCTCCAAGCCCGTAACAACAAAGGAGGATGTTTTTCATTTTTCTCTCCTATTCTCTCTCTCCCTGTGCCTCCACTCAACTATGTTCCCAGTGGCTGGTTTTTGCCTAATGAGAAAGGAGAGGGAGAAGAGGGTGGAGGAAGGGAGGAGCCTGCAAAATCCAAACATATCTTTGCAGAAACTGCTCTTAAAATGCAGCTTCTGCTTTAAGACAAATTGCTGAGGCACAAGCCAATGTCTGCTGCAGAAAACTATTTGATTTCTGTCTGCTTCTCTCTGCTTAAGGGTTATAAATAAAGATTTTAATTGTTAATTGTAACCACATGTGAACTCCAAATAGAAGGATTAGGAAGGGGAAAAGGCTAGGGGCATTTATGTTCTGTATCCCAGGCTTTCCCTTGCAGCTCAGCTACATTTTTCCTTGCTTTGCTGTGCATTTTAATGATATGTTTCTGATGGCCCACAATCTTGTCTGCTCAAATAGTAGGAGTCTGGAAGGCATTTGTGAGTCAGCAGTTCAAACTTTATTGACTTTTGGTACCAAATTAAAATCTAATAAAGGCCACTGCTGGGTTAACTACTCAGGAGTGGAGATGGGAAAGAGGAGGAAATTTCTAGTAATTCATCTGGTTTTCTGCTTTTTGTTGTTGTTCTTCAGCCTTTCAGATATGCTTCATCATTCCCTCCAACAAATAGCATTGAATTTTCTGTCTAAGGGCCTGTGCTCACAAAGAAAAAAGTTGCATTTTGCAGTGCTCCAGAAACCTACTTTAAAACCTTACTGTAGGTAAAGCCTACTATGGTTTTAACATTGCATTAGTAAGTTATTGGAATACCAAGGTTTCTGACCTACCAGTGTTTGTCCCTTACCAAACCCCACCCTGGCTTTGCTGAACTTAGGTCATCCTAGACAGACTCTTAAATATATAGCATCTTATTAACCATGTTAGCATCTCTTCTGCTCTCTCTCTTTTGTGTGTGCATCTCGATTAAAAGATGGCTGTATTAATGACTCATTTAGGAGGGTTTTATTTACTTTCTTAGCAGGAACCTGTAGTAATTTACCCAGTTGTTTTTCCAGCCCTTTGTTAGTGGTCAGAATGGAAAGGCAGGATAAAAGCCAGCTGTGTGGAGAGGAGCAGTTGGGAAACAACAATCCTAGCTACAGGTGGATTCTGCAGTAAATCCATGCCAAAATCCCTGTGCAGAACCTAGAGAATCTCAATGGCTGTCCTTCCCCTTGTGTTAAGAATAGGAAGTTTCAGCTTGTTGCAATACAATTTGCTAACTGATTTCTAAAGTACATCTCAGCTGCAGTGTAATTTTAGGGCCTTTTGGCTCCAATAATCTTGAAGTCTGTGACTGTAAAACTTGAACTCTGTGATGGTGTAAATAACGTTTGTCGTTTTCTGCTCTAGTCTTGCTATGGCAGAGGTCTTGGCGTGAGTGAGACATCACCTGAATATTAAGGCAACTCTAGCTCCTGAAGAAAACAGTACTCTTGAGGTTCGCAAATCCTGCGTTAATGCAGCTGTGGAAGCAGCAAATACAAGGAAGTTCCATTCTGTGACTGGTGGTGGTGCGTGTTTGTCCAGTGTTTATTTGTACCTGCTGGGGTAGCTCAGTGTCTGCTCTTCAACTGCTGGTGTGTTTCATGAGAGCTGTATTTTGATTCTTAAATCTGTTTCTATTTCTCAGTGGGGCCAATAAATGTATTACATCAGTGCTGTGCTACTACTCGTCTGGTCCCCTGGCTCCTCCTCTGCTCTCAACGATTAATGGAAGCACGTTGCCCTCTGTAGCCCTGCTCCCATTGTGGATGGAAAAGAACTTCTGCCTGTAGCAATAAGCCATAGTATTTTACACTGTTCTGGCCTGGACTGGAAGCAAAAGATGCAGCCTGAGGTCCTTCAGGTGTCTTGGCTGATGTCATTCGGACATCCCTGCATGCTATTTCTATCCCTCTAAGGCTTGAGTTCTGCAGCTCTTTTAAGAACTGCTGAAGTAATCTGAGTCCAGTTCTTAGCAGTAAATTGCAGGGGTGGTGTCTGAGTTTAATTGGGTATTTCTCTGTCCTCTTTCCCACTCACCCTGTAATATAAAGCAAAGGATAGAGATTAATATTTTTTTACTTTATTTTGTATGTGTAAGGAAGCTCACACGGCGTTTTGGATGTTCTGTTTGAGGTGATTTCAGGACAAAAGGTGAGAAGCCACTGGTGCTAGGAGAAGTCCCCCAAACAGGCTCCTCTCCATCCCTCTCTTTGCAGCCCACGGTAAAACGCCCAATTACTTCTCTGTGAAAACAGTAAGGAGACGTGGTTAGCGAAGAGGAGGATGTTTTTTCCTAGCTAGCTCGAAGTGAGTCTGCTATTCATTAATCCATCTTGTGTTGGCTTTCAGAAGGCAGCGCAGAACCTAAAACCTGTTGTTCCCATCAAGTTCCACATCTCCAGCCGTACCGATGCTGGCGTCCATGCACTCTGCAACTCTGCTCATTTTGACATCCAGAGGGCACCGGGGAAGCCAGCTTTGAATGAGAAACAGCTCATCTACAGTCTTAATTACCACCTGAAGTCTGAGCCAATCCGGTGAGTTGGTGGCAAGTCAAAATCTTTTATTTGGAGAAAGGAGGAAGTGCAGCAATGATCTCCCATCTTCACCCACAAGATATATTTTCCCGTTATGTGTGTTGGCAAACCAGTCCCTTACACATGTGTATTTCTGCTACTACCAGACCCCTGGCACATTAAAGATCAGTCTTGTCCCACCATTGTTGTTGTTTTAGTGGTACTAGCATAGACAATCTCCTAACAAGAGGAGTTGTGGGAAATTGAGGTTACCATGTAAGTATTGAATCCACTGGGAGGACTCTAGTATTCACACATGAGCCAGAACATTACTATGTTAACTTTCAGTGCTGTTTTATTCCCCAAACTCTCTAATTTTCTTTGTTTATTGAATTAGCACTTAGCAAAAACTTGGCTGCAGTGTTGCCTCTCACCTGTATCTGTGCAAAAAGATGAAGAACGAGGAAACAAAATTGGTGTTAGTGTTACCATAGTCTGCTCCTCCCTTCCTGTGTGATCAATCTCTCTCCTTCCTTGCTAGACCAAGGCTACTGCTTGACATGGTTTAGAGAAGTTACATCAAAGGTCCCGTTTAATATTTTTGTAGCAAGACTTGATGTTTATCTCAGTGGGATAGATAAAGTCCTTTTCATACTATACCCAACTGTTAATGACTAAGGAAAGTTGCATATGGATGTAGTGAGGAACTTGATACAACGATCTACAGAGAGCAAAACAGCCATTTCTTCATCCTGTTTCTCTTCTTTCTTCTTGTTAGGGTTATTACTTCTTGCAGAGTTTCAGAGTGAGCTTGTTCTGCATGAGACCCAGGTCTATGCCCGCCCTCAAAGGCAGGAAAGAAGATCATTAAACCAACAGTTGCTGTTAGGAATTTTCACCAATTACATAAGTAATTACTATGCCCTGTGAATTTTTCAAAAGGTGGATCGAATTTCATGTTCTTTGCTTTTCTTCCCAAGCTGTTGCACACTTTCTCTGTCAGCTGTCAAACAGTTTTTGTGTTCTCCCTGACATGGATGCGTTTTTACAGTTAAAGTGTAAATTGAATGAAACATTGGGGTGTTTAACTAAAAGCCACATCTGTGCTATGTCACAGAATCCACCTACCATTTGCCAGCAGCTGCTTTGCTATGCTCTACACTTCCTTGGGTTACTTTGTCTTATTTGCATAAACTAAAAACTCTTCAAGGCACAGACTGTCTTTGTCTGTACAGCATTTGGCACAATAGAACTTGAATCTCTGCGTGGTACCCTGCTGAAGAGTGTGTCAAAGCACTTCAGAGTGTTGTGCAAGGTGGGTAATTTGTAGGAGGTATTTAGGTGAGAAAAAGGACTTTGATGCAAGATGCCAACTGGTAATTACTCAGAGGCCCATTAGCTCTCTTTCACGTTACTGCAGTCTCTCTGGTGGCGTGAGCTTAAAGGAAGATTATGGAGGCAAATTTCCCATGCCAGAGCAAGAGCCCAGGACAAAAAAAGCACATCCCTCCCCACCCCAATGAAGGGATTGTTGTAAGAATAGCAGCGTTACTGTGAGGTACACTCCCCCTTCCCACTTCACCCAGTCTGCTTTATTTTGTAATCTCTTCTTTGTGAAACAGAGCCTGACCAAAAGCTGACATAGCAAGGCTTGGGATTTGAGGATTGACATCATACTTGCATCTGTTCTTGGTTTTGCAAAGGAGGATTCTAGTTCTCCAGGGCTTGGGGAACAGTGAACCCAGCTCTAAGTATTCAGGGGCTTAAATAGTTTGAGGTCTGAGGAAGAGAAATGAATGATGGTGTTATGTTTTTCCCAGCAGGTCTTGCATGCACATTCCACGTGCTGTATAAAGGGAAGAGCTAGAATGAGTTGGTTGAAGCTGCGACATGCTCTGCAGGAGGTGTTGATGTGCGATTCGGTCAGCTGTTTTGACTTTTTCAAAGCATACTGCAAACATTGAAACCTTAAGCAAAGGAAGGAACCTGAGCAGAGCAATCTCCGGTGGCAGAGACTTTTCTGGCTTTGACTAGTGGGTGTTCAGTACCTCTGGAAACTAGGCCCCCTGAATCAGACTCACCAAGGTGTCTGCCACTGTTTTTAGAAGCAACAAAGCAGATTGCCTGCCTCTGGCTGGCAGTAGAGATAGGCAACTAATCCACAGATGTGACTAGGGGTTAGACATTCCAGCAGACCCTGGACATGCCAATGACACCTGCAGTGCTGGGCAGAGTCTAATTAGGTTGCAGAACATCTGCATTAACAGCAGGTGAAACACAGGTTAACTAGCTGCTTGTTCCAGCAGGAGCTTACCTGGATACTGTAAGTGCTGTGTTGATTAGCAGTCCCTGGCACAACTGACTCCAGATCTTATACTGACTCAGTGTGAGTCGGAGATGGACTGAGGGGGTCAGCGTCTGGTCTGGTGGCCATTCCCCAGACTGTGTGCCGTTTTGGTGCAAGCAGTAGTGTTAGGTGGGGGGACTCTGCCTCCAGACTTCTGCTACGTTGTGTCCTGAGGGCATATTGACTCCAGGGAACGCATTCCAGCCTACGCTGATAGCCATGAATGTGTGTGAGAGTGGGTGACTTGACATTTGCTGTTGTGACTGGGATCCCACCTATGTGCCTTCTGTAGGCCTATGTCAAAGAAGTGTTTAGTGCCTGTAGGATTGGGTTTTGCAGTGTTTTCCTGCAGTGTTTCTGGAGTTGTGTGTCAGTGACACTTTGCATTTATTTAAATACAGTGAGACCTTTCATTTGCAGGCTCTGCACTCGGTCAGTGACTAGAGCAGAAGCTGCAGCAGCTGTCTCAGAGCCAGCTGCGTTCTTTCACCTCTGAACAAGCACCAGGGGAGCCATCAGAGGTTGAAGGGGAAGAGGAGGTAAAATCCTTGGAATCTGAGCTCAGGAGAGAGGACAGGAAGACACTGAGTGCCTTATTACTAGAGGCACATAGTTCCTGTTAGTGGCTGTTTATTATATTGATTTAACTGACCTTTTTCCCTGGATGTTTGCAGTTCCTTTGACAGTCCTCAGACAGTTTTGAGAACTCCATAAGGCCACACTGCTTTTCCCCTTTGATTCTAATGGTCTTCTGACTGTCCATGTTAGCTTAGCTCTTGCTGTCCCTCCAAGAGACCTTCTTGCCATGTCTTGGAGTGGTTGAGCTTAGCCCAAGGGCAGCGTGAGGTGACTGTTACGGTCTTGGGCTTGGTAGAGGCTGTGGCTGCCGTTAGAAATGCGTGGCAATCAGTCCCCAGAAACCTGTAAGTGAAATTTCTGTCGCCTCCCACCTTATTTGCAAAAACGTGTTTTAGCAGTTTGCAGAGTTGAGTCTTTGCAGAGTTCTGCAGTGGTTGAGTCTTTCTCTGAAAGCAAAAGTTTCACAGTGGGTACCTGAAAGAAAAGCAAATGCTGATTTCGCTGCTTTTACTACACATCCCACAGACAGCCATCCAGTAACAAGTCAGATCATCCATCTCAAACCCGAGATTGAATATTAGCATGATAATGTAGGATCGACAGTTTTGCACTTACAAATCCAGTTCCTCCTTTGGCCTCTTAAAGTAGCAGCCAGATTCCTCTGCAGTGAGAGGCCAGAACACAAAGCAAATCTCTCGAGCTAGTGCTTAACATCTGTGAGTTACTGTCCCTTGACAGCTTTCACCTTCTTTGACGTATGTGTAAAGAACCGAACGCAGCTGCTGTGGGGTGGGCTGGAGATGATTTCTTTTCAGACTGCTGTGTCAATTACAAAAAAAAAAAAAAATAAAATTCTGAAATAGACTTTGACTTATGTGGAGTTTTGGTTGTTATTTTTGCTCAGGCTGAAAACTAGGTCAGACTCTGTACACCCTGGAAGTCAAACCCTTTCTGGATGTTCTAGCAGTAACAGGGAGCATGAAGTAGGTCATAGTTTTGATTTCCTTCCTTAAAGGACTAAAGCAGTTATTTGGGAGTCAAAACTAGCTGATTTTACAGCCAAAGGGTACCACTGCAATGATCAGTCTGTTCTGTGTGTCACCTGCCACTGAATCTCAGTCTCTCTGCCCCGAGTTTAGGTCTGGAAGTTGTGTTGTCTGGCTTTGATGGGGTAAGTTGTCCCAGAGGTAAAACTATTGTTGCAACTCTGCCACTTCCAGTACTAGTAGTCGTACAGATGCACAGTTCCATGTAGCTTTGTGATACCTGGACTGACCAGTCCAAGAGCAAACAGGAGTGCTGCTGAAGAAAGTTTTAAGTTAGCATCTCCGAAAGAAGGCAGCAGCGGGATCTCACAGAAGGGAAGAGTTTTTTGTCTTGTGCTAAGATCTGACAGGTACGTATCAGGAGGTGATATCTGCTGATAGAATGGAACACAGTGCTGATCAGTTAGAGGGTTTATCAGGATGCAGTCAGCTCTGCTTCTCCTTCCTCCCTTGGGCTGAACCTTTTAAAAATGGTTCAGCTGCTTTCCATTAAGGAGCTTGGTGATGGGCATGAGTCTAAGCACATTCGGCAACTGTCCCCTCCCTCTGTAAATATTACCTTGCCAAGAAGAATTCCCTCCTAATGCTGAAGAGAAAACTCAGTGCTTCCACGTGGTTGCAATCGGGGGGATGGAGAGAGGGGATCTATGTGAGAACACATTATTGTTGCTAGAGCTTGGAAGGGAAATGAGATTCCAAGCTGGCTGACTGTATCATCAGCGATAATGACCATCTTTGTGGCATGATGGATCTCTTCTATGAACTGATCTGTCTTTTAGATTTGCAAAGCATGTGTGAGAGGATCTTGTCTACAAAGATCAGTGTGTTTCATAGATGGGATAACTTTAGGAGGACTTTGCTGTCAGTTAAGTAGGGATGGTAACACAGTAGACTCACGCCTTCTATTTCTGGTTTCAGTTTTGTAAGCACGCAATAAAAGCCGTCTAGATGACAACAAGACAGAGATGGGATTCCTCCCACCTCCTCTGAATTGTCATTTAGTTTCTGTTGTCAGTGGAGAGAGAGGATGTACTTCTGGAACACATTTTTGTATCTAATACATTGCTGTTTCTAGTTAGATGTCTTTGGGCTTTTTTTTTTTTTTCCTTCAACCTCTTCTGAAATTCAGGCTTTGTTGAAAACCTAAAGAATACCATGAGTCTTTATTTATCAGCAGTCTTTCAAAAAAATGGGATCTTAACAAGGTGTGAAATGTAGCTGCTGGAATAAATGCTGGAAAGACATTCCTAGCTGGAAAGAGCCTATGGTAGCAATTGCATCTGCTAGAAGAGGCAGGAAAGGATGCCTGCACTGAAGAATCATGTGAGCATAAATAGGCTTCTCTGAAAGAATCAGTCTATCAGAGGGAGTAAAAGGATGGAGTTTTTTAAGAAAAAAAAATCATGTAAGTGTTAACAAGAGGAGCTCAAGATAAATGAAACTCTTGCAGAGGCATGTAGACAGAGGGAAATAAATGTAATAATTACATTATTATGTTTAGAAGAGGCTGGAGGTCCTAGGTTCAAACTCTGTTGCAGGCCTGGAGGATGTAGTTTGCTTTTCTACTGCAAGTTTATAGCAGTGGAGTGATCTCCTGGGCTTGTTATTGCAAATCTTTGTGGAGGCCTGTGGCTCAGCTTTGATTTCTTCTGCTGTGGTCTGAGCCTTTTCAGTCAAGCGATGTGAGCCAGAGGCACTTGAGCTGGCAAAAATCCCTGAAGCACCAGCCTTTTTAAAGTAAATAAATAGGTTTGTCTGTTACTTGGTCCCAAGTGGTATCATATTTTTTTGGCTGCCCTGAGTCCCTTCTCCTCACTGTGTCAAACTTCAAAGACACAAAGGCACACAGCAAGAGGAAAACTCCCTTCTAAGGAGAGGTGTCCTCTAAAGTAGCACCTGCAGAGGATGTAATACTTGCTGCATGTTCCTTGCAGTACGGTGAGTAGCCAGTACTCTAGGATAAGGGAAAATCAAATCCAGTAAAAACTGCTCCTAACATGTTAAAATCAATGATAATACTTTGGAGGAGGTGCAGAAACACAGGGAAGCTCTATTTTCTCCTTTGCCAGAGAGAAGGGTGTTTTTCCCTTTGATGGCCTGTATACCCTCCCTTCTGGCTACCAAGCTGTGTTTGGCACTAGTGGCGTTGGCTTAGAGAAACAAGGCAGTTTCACCCTGGTGCTTACAGGAGAAAATGGGAGTTCAGCTGCCTGGAAAGCTGCTTCTTGAGTTAACTGCCCAGAGGCAGTGGAAGATGAGTAGATGTGAACATTCCCAAAAGCTGTTTTCTGCACGTGTGAAACGTGAGGGTTCCCAGGAGGCCTCCTGCGTGCAGCGTTCTGCTCTTTTCAGATAGATTCCATCTAGGCCATGATGGGATGCACCTTTATTTTTGTTGCTGCAGCAAAGTCCTATTTGTCTTGGAGGTCGTGGGGGGAGGTGGGAGGGAAGTGACCTAGTTTCAGCTATCTCCATCTGCTACGATGAGCTGTGTAGCCGCCTTTGAGAGTGACACAGAGGTGTCTGTTGGAGGAATCCTTCCCACTCACATTTGGCACCATGGTTCTGCAAAAGCAGAAGGGTACAGTGTTCATAAGGTGTGCTCCTTAGCTGGAGGTGGAGGAACTCAGCTTGCTTGGAGCAGTTGCTGCCTCTCACCTTAAGCGTGGGTAGGAGCACGTGTGCCCTCAGCCAGGTGCAATACAATTTGATGGACCGGGTGAGGTGGTTGGCTTCACTGTGCAACAAAGAACACATGCTATCTGTTGCCATTTCTCAACTGAAGGACTGGTTGGTCTGAGCGCCCAAAAACATGTTGGTAGATGACCTGAAGTCAGTTTCACTGTGTATTTGATGACAGTGGTGATGCCAAGGCTGTTCTGCCTTCTTCTGTTGGACAGATGTCTGTGGTGGCCTACAGGTGCAAATCCTTGGTCACCAGTTAGTCACTGGCTGTCAGGAGAGAATGACATTTAATTAACTTTAAGTGTGATTTTTCAAAGAATCCGTTGCACATTTCAGTTCCCATCTATGTGGCGACCAGGCAAAAGCTTTTGAATTAGCACATGACATTTCTCTCCATCTCACTCATTCTCTTCTGTCCTAACAGCATTTTGAATGTCTGTCGAGTGACCAGTAGCTTCCATGCACGCTTCTCTGCACTGTCAAGAACCTACATTTATCGGCTGTTGATGGGCTGCACTCATTATTCTGAAGTACCAGTGTTTGAAAAGGATCTCTGCTGGGCGCCTGTGGGAGGGTAAGTGTGTTCCATTAAACCTCCCTGGGGAGGTACCTCATCAACACTCTGGAAAGGCTTGGCTTTTGGGGGAAGTGGGGAGGGGGTAATTTCCATATGTGAGACCAGATTCCCCATTTGTATTGACAAGATTTTCTGTTGAACATAACTGAGTTATGTTCACCGAGACTTGAGACTTACAGTTCTTTCTATGTGTACTGCCAGTTGTACCTGTGATAAAACATGCTGAAATACTCCATGACCCCAGGTAGAGTCCATCAACAACTTTGTGTGTCCCTCCCTATGGAGTGTTGAGCGTTCCCTCAGATGACCTTGCCAAGTCATAGCAAACCAGTATATTTAGCTCAGTATTCACTTGTGTTCTTGGAGTAGCCACTGAGTCCTAACAAATCAGTGCTTGTGTATGCAAGGGAAGAAAAACAAATTCAGTGCCATTTAAAGAAAAAAACAAACAAACTTAGGCCATGATAAACAGTGGGTGAGGAAAAAACAAACAAACAAACCCTGGAAGATAATTTGTTGTTATCCTTTAGTTTATGTTGTACTGAGATAAACATACATTCAAGAAAACTGGAGTTTTCTACAACAGCATAGAAAAACAGGTTTGTAACCAGTTATGGTAATTGCATCACCACTATTGGAATAACAATTGCAGGTAACGAAATAAATGTAATCTCAGTTGTCCTAGCAGAGGAATGAAGATGATGTTGTCCTAACATTAAATTGCTGACTTTCTTTTCTGTGGACTGTGGAAGGGAGAAATAAATACAAAATTGCAAAATTAGGTGTTATGTGCACAATGTGCCTTAATTTTAGGCTTTATGAAATAGCATTTAATTTCACCCAGGCACTGCAGTGAATTTTCTCAAATGGCAATACCACCTGAAGGACAGAGTGAGCGTATTAGAAATTCTGAGTGGGAGGCATCTTACTAAAAGGTGGGATATTTGGACTGCTGGTGGTAGAGAAGCTCCTAGAGTGTGCTCTACTGAGCACATCTTGTGTATAAAACACATAATACACATTAAACTTCTTTAGGTTTCCAAATTGCCAGCTAGGTGTCATCGGCGCTTTGCAGCGTGACCAGGATTCTGTAAGTGCTAGTCATTTTTCTTGAACACGGTGAAAAAAATTAATGATGTTGGAAAACCTCATCTTGATTTTTGTGTTTGTTTGTTTTCTTCAGAAACATTTTGACTTCTGTTAAGATCTCAAAAATTTAAGCCATAGATTATGTGTACTTGCTCAGGCTTTTCTTAGGAGAAATGTACAGAAATAGAATAAAAATAAGTATCTGTTCAGGAAATATATCAGTAAATCTGCCTAAATTCCTTTGGTTGAGACTATTTTGAAAAGACCTAGATACTTCGACTGAAGAAATATGAATGACACTTGACATTCTGAGTTTTACCCTTGGCCCTTTCTTCTGCCTCTTCACCTTGGGTTTACACTGCCTCCGTCTCTGACAGTTTGCTCACTCACTCTGGTGTTGTTACTTCCTGATTCTATCTTCTGGCTGTTGTAAATCTGAGGTTTGGAAAACTATCACAGTGTTTGATATTTTCTTACCTGGCAACATCTTTTTCAGTTTATAAGATCCAGATACTGTGAGGGATGTTGGTTCCCTTGCCCTACACTCTAGCCAGCAATTCGAATGGAGTTGTTTGAATTGAACTGTTTTTAAGAAGCACAGCAGGATAAAGGTTTGTGTAAAAGCCTATACCTGCCACCCTCTCATCTAGCCTGGGGTTTTGAATACCTTCAGACCTCAGGTCACTTGGCATCTTGGTTTGTGGTTTGGGCCGTTACAAGAGAAACTCCATCTTGCAAAATGTGTTTCCACAGTGCTGCAATGTTAAATCTGCTGGCCAGGTTCAAGCCTCTCATCAATTGATTGGACTTTGACCCACCTAACATACTTGGTCCCACATGATGCTCATTTCCTTTTGCTCTTCGTGTTTAATTTCAGCTGCTTGAATGTGACTGCCATGCAGGATGCTGCACAGTTCCTGCTGGGAACCCACGACTTCAGCACCTTTCGCTCACTTAACTCTGAAACACCTTTCCAGTCTCCGGTCAGAACTATCCTCCAGGCAGATATCCAGCCTTCTTCTGGTTTCCTGTCCCACCATTATCAACGCAGGTGAGAGCCTAGACACTCAGCTGAGGAGCTGCTCTGGTCAGCTAGTGCTTGCTTTGTCTGAAAGCTGCGTTCCAGCACTGAGAACTGACCTCCTGTTTGCTGTGCATTACCCTCACAGTCCTGTGATGATGCCAGCAGGGTCTGTCTAGTGGTAGCTTGGAAAGGACATTTCTTTCCTTCACCTCCCCAATGTCCTCAGGGAGAAAGATGAGCAAGAATGAGGGCAGGGAAAACTGGTCTAGTTGTTTGTGTGTTAAAAGGCAGGATGTTATTAACTGGTGTATGGAATCTGGCACAGAGCAATTCCTATGAGGTGCTTCCAGCATTTACACTCATTTTGGTTACTAAAGACCAGCTCTGCCAGAGGATGGGATTTTTTTTTAACTTGCTGCCCTAGCTTTGCCTAAAGGCTGCAAATAGAAGGAAAAAGCCAACCCAACACCTAAGTCACTGCTGTAGCTATGCAGATCTGCTCAGTTCACACCAGTAACTCCTACTGTCTTCCCAGGGGATGTTGATGAAGGAAAGTCCAATATTCCTCAGTCATTACATAAACAAAAGATTGTTGAGTTTCAAGTTTTCTCAGGACCAGGTCTTGCAAGTATTGAAATTAAGTGGTTGGATATATTTTTCTCTCTAGAAGAAACTGTAGGTTTTTTCCCGAAAGATCATGGATATTTATCATCTGAACATGGTTTTTGCTTTTATGCTGGCTTCTTTCACAGACATGTGGCTGTTGTGTTTCAGCTTGGAAGCAAACTGTGCTGTTTCTGTCTCCAAACCACATTTTCCTGCTTTCTGGTTAGGACAAAACCCTTTTCTGTATAGTTTTCCCCAATGACCCTCCATTGGATTTGAATACCTACTGAGCTGTCTGTAACAAGAAGTGCCATGCTCCAGGCTTTGGAGCCTCACTCCAGTTTGCAAGTAGCCCACTGTTTCTTTCCTGAAAATAGCTGTTAACAGGCTTGTCTAGATCACCTGTGAGTTCATATGGGCCAGGTTAGCTTCCAAATCCAGACCTTCTATTGTCAGTTAACCGACCTTTGAGATTTAATACGGATCAGCTCTTTTTTGTCTTTGATTTTAATTTTAAAAAGGAATTTTCCATTTCCTGCATAACTTGCTGCATAAACCCATCCCACACGAGGCCAAAAACAGCTCATAGGACAGAGAGTAAACCTAAAAACTGGATCAATGGAATGGTTGATGGAATGTGTTTGCTTTTGGTGACACATGCATCCAAACTTGTGTCTTGTAGCGAGTAATTTTTATAACATGTTGATATTAATTGATTTAATGAATGTTTAGGCTCAGAAAGATGGCTTTGAGAAGCCTAGTTTCAATGCATTTAAATGGCATTTAACTCTCTTAGAATACTTTGTTAGTAATAACCACAACCATGCATTTTCTGATCTAGAGGAAAAAGTTGTGGGATTTGGGTCTTGTTGGAGTGTTTTTTGTTTGTTCAAGCTTTTTTTAATTACAGTGTCCTAGTTACTTTTAATCTGTAAAACTCTTTCTATGGGAACAGTTGCAGTCATGGAGCTTGGTGTTTGCCCATTCTGCAAATAAGACAGCAAATGTACCTGAAGTGCATGTGTATTTCTTCACTGAATGAATTGTTCCTACAACGAAAGGGCTGAGATAGCAGTAAAAGCTTATAAATAGATTTATTTGTTTATTTATTTAACCTAATCTAAGGAGATCTGTTTTCTGTTTCAGAGGGAGGAATCCATAGAATGATAAACCATGGTCTCTTAGTCAAATAATGCAGCTTTTCTTTCTTATTCTTTCCTTCCTTTCTGAACTTAAACCATCTTCTGAATTGACCACTTGTCTGTTTAAAAGGCTTACTGTTAAAATGATTCCTTCCTTCAAACTCAGTTGCTCAGCAACAGTGGAAGTAGAGTTAGTGTCCCATCCATACAAAATGCTTCTGAATGCTAAGGATGTGTTCAGAGGCTTAGCCCCATCACTTATTCCTGGGGAGTGATTGCTCTGTCACCTGTTTTCTAGCTGAATATGTATTATTCATTGCAAGGTGCTGGCTTCTGCTGCCAAGTGGAAAAAGACAGCTGGATTTTTTGCTGGTAAGCAAAATTATCTGTGAGACTGACAAGAAAAACAAAGTTTCCCTCTTACAGAAAAATACCTTGTTCTCTTTCAAAGTCTACAAGATATTTTTCCTGAGTATCTCAACCCTTCTTTTGTAGCTTAATATATCTGTCAAGAAATCGAGGCAGGAGAATCCTGCCTAGAGAAGGTGCACGCAATTTGATGAGAGGGGAATTTGTCCCTATTCAAAAAAAATTGTCCCTTGTGCTTTGCTGAAGAGCCGAGCTGAACCGTGCCCTCAGCGTGCTGGGTATTTGCACACGTGTGCAGCAAGGCACATGTCTGTACGCCACGTGCTTTGAGCTGGAGGGAGACTGTACATGATGGAAACATTGTCGTTTCCTGACGTGAAGAGGAATCCGGGGGCAGGAGCAGCCTTTGCATTTGCCAATGCACACGACAGGGAGGGCTAAAAGCAGGAATTTTTCTGTAAATCCTGTGAGAAAACAGCTTGTGGCTGCTCCCCACAATGACTGTTTCACAGTTTCTCCTCCTGCCAGCCCTGCCCTGGTGCCCCGTGCTGGTTCCATGAACCACGTTGTCCCTGTTTCCCCTTTCTCCTACGGCTCGCAAGAGCTGTCCCCTCTGGCAGGGAACGGGCAGCCCCTTGATGCTCAGGTGTTTCCAGCAAACCCAGCCTGTCCACCTGAACCTTCCAGTCAAATACGTTGCAGCTGTGCTTTTCTCACAGCTGATACAGATCTCCATAGCCCTTTGATAACCAGTTACTGGGGTCATTGCAAGGGAGGAGAAGGTTTGCATGTAGATATCTGCCCTTCTGGATTATGCAAGGTAAGCTTTGTCTCTTTTTGCTGTAGGAATGCTATGGGATATAAGGAGCACTTATAGACTGTTAGTGAGTTTATTTTTTTATGATTCTTTTGTTGTTACTTTTATCAGAGTGACTTCTAGGATTGCTTGGTAGCATGGAAGTTTGGGGATGCAGCTCCTCAAGGGAAAACCTGCTTGTTTTTGAGCTCTGTTGGCATATCCGATGTATGATACGTGTGTGTATGTTTTTACATACATCTAATGTGCATGTCAGGTTATTTATTTGTAGGAAGGAAGTATTCATACAGGTTCTTGCTTGCAGGGCTGTTCCTGAGAATGAGTTTTCATTGGGTTTTAGTGTTAGAGCTGGTACTGGGACATCAGCAAAACGACAAAAATGTTTAGAAAGCAACTTGTAAAGATAAAGCAGAGGATGCAAGTGTTAGGGGAATGTTGGAATAGTTAGGCTCATTGGAGTTCTTATAAGCAATATTGGTTACTACCATAAAACTTTCTGGAAAACGGTGTCTATATGAACAGACAGATTTGGTGAGGGAAAGCTTGTCTTTTTGTATAGTAGCATCCATCCGTCTCCAAATACGATCTGTCATTTTCTCCTTTGCTCACTCTTAGCCTGGAGTGCTTCCTTGTCTGCCACTGCCTGTGTTCTGATGCTGCAGCTGGATTCCTCAGGCATGCCTGTGTCCTGACTTGCTTGTCCTGGCCTTTCCAGTAGCACGTGGATGTCGCAGTAGGCATTGCTGAGTGTTGAAATTAATTCTGCAAAGCTTGTAAGGACCACGTGACTCTGCAGCCAGCTCCAAATGAAATGGTAGAATCACTTTTCTATAGTTGGTTGTTTCCTCTTTTCTCCAGGAGGCATCAGACTGCATTCCTCAAATCAGTAGTGCCTCAGCAGGCTGCTAAGTTGCACCTTGTTTTATGTTGCCCTTTCCCTTTTATTTGCATGGTTAGGTGTAAGGCAGCAGGAAGATCAAGCCACTTAAAAGTAGGTACATACAAAACAGGTGGGAATTGTTTCACCCCAGAAAATGTTTGCATCTGAGCAGCAAATGAGCAGCCTGGTGTTCAAAAGCTCATGATGCTGTTTCAGGTTGATCGGGACCTGCGCAGCTTCTTATTCATTCTGCTCTCATTTAGCCGTGATTTATGCTTCTCTTGTAAGAAGAGGAGCCATTTGAAATATGTTTTTTAAATGTTTTTTTGTTGTTCCTTTTTTTAGGGGACTGGAGTTTTGGGAGTTGCAGTTCAGGAGCAGATCGTTTCTCTACCGGCAGGTACTGTTCCTGCTGTACTCGGCACACGCTTTGCCTCCAAGAGCCGAAGTGTCGCTATCCCTGTTGCTATTGATCAGTTTAGCAATGTTGCATCCCTGTGTAGTGCCATTGCTGTTGCACAGCTGGTGTTACAGCTCTGTGAGGCATGCAGGGACCTACTATCAGAGAGGTGAGGCTCTGTATTCTTCGTTTGATCTGGTAGAACCAGAATCTCTTCAGTTTGTGTCTAAAATGAATGTCCGAAGTCACAGAATTGTGTGGGAGGATGGAAAGTTTTCTTTTCCACAGTCTTTGTCTTTGCAGTCTGAGTGGTGGAAACCAACAGACATGTGTTCTTCCTCTGCTGAATGGCACTGGGCCCAGCAAAGACTGCCTGGAATTTTACTTTCTGGCGTCGGAGCATGAAGTACTTCTCAGTGTTGCACGAAGGAGAGATGGGAAGACCTGATTCAGCTATGCAGGCATGACTGCAGGATCTTTCCCTCTGCCGCGCTGTCTAGCCTCCACTGGGTTTTCTTTGAAATAACTCCAGTGGGGTTTTTGCTGCTATCCTCAGGGGAGACAGCTCTCTCCACAACTTAATGGATCACCTCATTAGGAAAGAGTTGGCTGTTCTCAGACTGCCTATCCTGGCCATGGTCACACTCTGCAGACAGAGAATAGGCAAGAGAGGGCTTGTTTTTTGGAGGAGAGGGGGTGTTTTGTGGGAACAGCAAGCAGCTATTTTTTATTCTGTTTTGACAAACCAAATTTGTTTTTATCCTGTGCCAAGTAATGCTCTGTAAGCTCTCTGACAGTGGGTGTCTGGATATGAGCAAGGGAAGAACAACAACATGCTTGAGAAGGGCTTGATATACAGCAGGGATTTGCTTCATCAGATGCTCTTGTGAAGAGGAGGAAACGCTGGTAACCCGTTTAGTGCATTAGAATGGAAATGCTACTTAGTGACGTTGAGCAGAGAGAGCAGTCACCTGTAATACCCAGCTCAGCCTGATGCCATCTCTGAAGTTCGTTAGCAGGAGCTGGCAGGCTCTAGTGAAGCAGGAACAGGCTGTGCGTGCCGAATTTGCACTGGTCTACCTGAGCATCCGCTTCTGCCCTCTGTCCTGAAGTGGAGACTAGAGTAGATGGACCTCGTATTTCTCTTTGAATATCTGCTATGATAAGTATTAACATCTGGATGTTTTTACTGGAGTTAAACATGCCCAGAAACTGTATGTATATGTATTTTACTGAGTAGCATGCAAGAGGGGGGAGACACCAAGCACACGACTGTTTCAGATGCATTCCATTAGTCTGCATTGTCACAAGCTGACTCCTAGCGTGGAGACATCAAAGCTGAAGTCACAGCTTACAATGACCTCTAGTGAGGGATGGATAAAATAACATACGTCGAGGATCTGTGCTTCTCTGTGCGATCTGCTTCAAGGCAGGCTCTTGGCATTCCACAGTGCAGCTAAAGATCACAGCACGTAGGGAGACATTGCTTGCCTTTGGATAAATGCATCCTGGGTTGTTGGACCTTTCTCCTTAGTGGTGATAAACATGACCAGGTTGCTTAGTGGACTTTGGTTTAATCTTCTGTAGATGTTGATGGATCAGAAACTTAGACCAATGCTTTGTTGTAGCACTACATTGAAGTTTTTGGAGAGCTGGGTACGCTTTGAAAGGTTCTGAGTAGAATGAATGTTTATTTAGGCCAAATGACTGATCGTGCCTGCGCAAGTGGGAACGTGTTCTGGCCACAGCATGAGAAGGTGAGTCAGACGGGACAGTGTCTGCTTGACCAGTTTCCCCAGCATGGGCTAGTACTGCTGTTGCCTGTAACGTTTCAGCCCTTGCTTAGCTGGACACCACCAGGCTGGTTAAGTTCATTGCATTGTGCTGTTTCTTTCCCCGCAGAGAGGCATGTCTCATGATGGGACTGTTCATACAAGCCTGTTCTCTCCAGCGGTGCTGGGACAGGGCCTGGCTTTCCTTGGGCTTCATCTCCTGCTGAGCAAAAGTGTGAGAAGGACCGCCCTTCTCTGTCTTCATCCTTTGTTTCCCCAGGGAAACATGTTTCCTGGAACCATCCCCAGATGTTTCTTGCACAAGCTTTCTTGATGCCCATGGGAAGCGGGTGATGGCTTGCATACTAGTCTCTGGATAGAGCTCTTTCTAGAAGTGCCTTGCGGAAGGTACTTCTGGCACAAGTTGAGGGACTCTTACTTGTCAGTTATTGCTCGACAGCAGCTTCATGAGGCTGCCTTGACATAATAAGTATGGCTGTACCAGGAAGGTTACTGGTCAGTATTCTGCCTTCAGAGATGCCCTGCACTCATGAAAGGGGTGGAGAGCAGTGTAGCCACCACAAAGGGATGTGATAGATAGCCAGTCGTATGCAACTAGCATTTGGTGTGCAGGTGGCATTGGCAAATACAAGCCTTGGCCCTCCTGGAACAGCATGTCTTCTAGGGATATATGGGAGGAAAGGGTGTGTTTTAGCCAAGAGGATGCTGAAGCGTGACGGGTGTTTACGCAGGAGGTGAGCACTGTGGTGTGAAACTTGTGCTAAACCACGAGGTCTGGAATTGCTGAGTGTGGAGGGAGGGAAGGGAAGTTGTGACATGCAGAGGTGTTTGAAATACCAGTTTGCTGCACTGGGGGGGTGTTGTCTGGCAGGCTGTCCTACTTGAGTTAGTGTTTTCCTCTTACTTTTTTGGCTTTCTGATAAACAAGCAAGCCCCTACGTAGTCCCTCGCCTGAAAACAGTGTTGCTGATGTATTAAGAACCACCTGTGAGCTCAGCTCTCCCAGCACAGTATGTGAGCTTCCTGCCACAGACAGATGTGTGGGTTCTGCTGTTTCTGAAACAGAAACCACCCTCTGCTCAGCTTTCTCCCACACGTGATGAGAGCAAGCCTTGTTCCAAGGCAGTGCTGTGTAGCTGGAGATCATTGTGTTACAGGTCCTCATCTCATTTTTACTCGTTGTAGGGAGGGAAGACAAAAGAAGCAGGGTAATTTTGCTAGTTCTTTCCCTTCCCTGCCACCAGGTTTGGTCACTGGAAGATGCTGTGCCTCTGTACGTTGCAGACGAGCTTAGCTGCTGCATGTTAGCGTGTCACCTCGATCGGTGCAGAACCTAGGCAGCCCATGCAATCCCTGCTAAAAGTGGAAAGAACACCTTTCCTCCGTAGGCTGTGGGGTGACTAGGACTGCTGAGGCGTGCTCAGGGGCGGAGGGAGTATGATCTTTCTGAAGAAATAAAGCGAGCACTGGAAATTCTCCCTGGAGGTGTGTGATGCCAAAGGCATACAAGAGGCAGCCAGGACTGGCTTGAACCTTGATGGGCGAGCCTGGGCCACAACCTGGGGTACTTCAGTGGCATGTAAAACAAGAGTCAAAGCATTCTTTATGTGGGGCGATGCTTGCTTCTTTCTTAACACCCAGCAGGACTAGGAGCAAAGTGCATGGCACTGGGAACAACTGATAGTGCTAGGAATAGTACAGGAACACTAGAAATTAGGCTCTCTGGGAACTGTGGGTTTAACAATAATGATGTACCTATCTTCAGGAGCAGGCTCGTATTAAGAAATCATGGTGATATCTCATTCTTTCCTGTGTGACAGACACTGAACTCTCTCATGAGGTTTCTAGCCTGACTTGCTATCAGTAGTAGCTGTGGGCTGTTACACAGCACAACACTGCTGATAGCACGAGTGCAGGACTCCAGGCAGAATTTCCTAATTTCTGTAAGTCTTACAAGGGCAGCTCCTAAGATGTATTCTCTGTTTTTCCAGGTCCGAAGAATGGTTGGGGCTCTAGTTGCAGTTGGCCAGGGAAAGTTAACACCTCATCATATAAAGGAGTTACTGGAGAGAAAAGATTCACGGGCTTTTCCACCAAACGCCATGGCTCCGCCATCCGGACTCTTTCTAAAATCAGTGGAATATAATAAAGCAGGTAGGCGAATGCAGGGAATGGCATTCTTTTTGTAGGAGTCAGATCTGATACTGAAGGGAGCAGTAACACTGTCTTCCTTTACGTGCCATCTGACCTACGGCTCACGGCTTGGCTCATTGGCACCCACATCACAGTGAATGCTCTGGACTGTAGAGGTGTTTACAGCAGTTGCTATGGAAAGGCTGTGTATCTTTTTCCTAGTACATTTCCTCTTCTTACTTGCAGTTGTGTTGACAATGACTTTGAGATCTCACATGAATGATGCTTTCAGTTCTCATAAATTCTAGTTCTGTCCCTGACCGTGTATAAAGACCAAATTGTCCGTTGTATCTAGGTGCCTACAGATCTGTTTCTCAGTTCTCCCTTGGTATTTGTGAGAGGGTTGTACAGACTGGATGACAGATCATCCTTTTGCTTATATGGTGGCTCTCTTAGCAGCATCCGATCTTAAACTATTTAAGAAGAGAGCAAATGGACGTCATGGAAGTTTGACATCCCTGCTAGGGATAGCAGGTATTTAAAACTGCAAGGATGAATCTGTCTCTGGTTAATCCGGTGTCTGTGAAATGTGGATACAAAGGACTTCCCACCACGCTTCAGACCTTCTCCAGGCTGCCTTGTCTCAGCCAGACCACAGATTTCCTGCAGGTGGGCTTACAGCACGCTCCCTCCTGCAGCAGCAGTGCTCACACTGGGGCTTAAGGAAGACAGAGGGGAAAGGGAAGCAACAAAGAGCTGTGCAAGGAGCTTGAATGTAGTTCTGAGCACTTGGCCTGGCCTTGAAAAGGCAGCTGCTGCTTGCTGGTTTTGGCCCTCTCCAATGGTCTTTTTCCTAATCGTGCTGGTTGTGGAGCCGTCTGTGCCAGTGGGGAGGGAGCCCAGGCAGGAAATGAAGACTGCAGATTTTAAGTGCTTTCAGGTGGTTTCAGTGCCATGTTTTTCCCTAAATCAGTGGGTTTTTTTCCTTTCCTCTCAGATTTGGACACTACAGTTGACCCAGGAGAATAGCAGCTCTGTGGAGGCACAGCCATGTCTGAAAGGACTGTTATCTTGGATGTGTGATGGAGGTTTGCCAAGTGTTCCTTACACAATACGTGGTCTTGTCTCAATAAAAATCATTCACTGTGACTGTAAGCATCTTCCTATCATTTGTCCTTGCCCTCTGAGACTGCCAAGGAGAGAGGAAGAACAACTCCATGCTGCTTTCAGATAACTGCTTTTTTTTCTTTTTTCTGAAATTCTGGTGCCTGCCTCTCAAATAGGAGGAGGAAAGA